TTCCAGCAAGCGGGCCTGACCTAAGGAGGATTTTATTTAGGGACGATTTTAAGTATAATTTTAATTGGAACACAGCTTCGAATATTTGGTTTTAATTTGGTTTTAGAGGGGTTTTTATTTTTATTGATATGTGTATCTGTTTTAATATGCTGTGCACCGCCCTGAGTCCTGCGGGAGAAGGGCGGTATAGAAATTAAAAATAATAATAAAAATAAGTAGGGAGTTGATAGGCACAACCATGGGCTCGCTGTAGTCTTCACTAAAGCCTTTTTCACACCTTGCAGTTTTTTAAAAAATGACATGGTTTTAATACATAAAATATTGCTGTAGGTAGTTGTAATGATGGTTTTGTGTATGTACTATATTAATGGAAGTCTGTTTGTTTTATTTGTTGCAGTTCCTTTGATCTTTTAAATTCATGGGATCAATCAAATCTACATCATACCTCAGGCCAGTTCAGCTCTGTGGGAAGCATGGATATCTGGGATCACACACCCCAAACATATCAGTATAGTCAGATTTCCTCTGCAAAGTCCAATAGCAGCATTGATCATCTGAGGAATCCCAGCAAAAGAGATTCTGCATATGGTTCTTTTTCTACTAGCTCCAGTACACCTGATCACACATTGTCTAATGTAGATGCTGTGTCAACAGAGAATGTGATGTATAAAATGGGTCACTGGGAAACTCCAAAACAAGGAAATAGCAAGACTGCTTCATTTCTAAGTGATAATGGAAGTTCTGAAGAAAAAGTTAACTCCTTTGCAACTCCCCCACAATATGAAAACAACCTAAGTTTGCGACTGGAAGTCCATACTAATTCACTCTATTCTGGGGCTGGAAGATCTAATTTTGTACCTGTATGGTATGTCCCTGAAGGGAAAAAGTCTCCTTCCCCTCCACCTCCCCCACCCCCTCTCCGTAGTGATAGCTTTGCTGCTACCAAAAGTCATGATAGAGATCATGCACCTCTATATTCAGAAGGCATTCAGAGCCCCCAGCATTTTGAAGTCCTACATAGAACACCAATCAGAAATGACTGGAGTGCTGAAGCTGCTGAAGAACAAAAGCTAATGATCAACTCAGTTGTCAAGACCTCACACAGAAGACGAGGAAGCAGCCCAATACAAAGACCTGATTTTATTCCAGATTATGGTTTCTCTTCCCCAGGTGACAGGATAAACAATAATATGGGAAGTGCTAAGAGGTTGCATTCTTCTCTGTCTAGTACTGATGTTCGATTTGCCCAGTATGTTTATGAGTCTCAGCACCATCAACATCAGCGTCAATATAGTGATGAATATAGTTTCTTTCACAATACAAAAGCCTCTGCATCATCTAAAGAGCCAAAATGGCTCTTTCCTTATAGTGACATTAGGGAAAGGCCTTCTGATAAACATAACTGTCATCTAAACCAAACCAGAATTCCTAGTAATACCACCATTGCAGTTTCTGACATGAGTTCTGAGGAAAACCCGGGACTAAATCATTATTACTGTGCAAAAGTGAGGCAGCAGCCTGCTCAGGGAATCTCAAAACCATTACAATATAAAAATGAACGTAGGAATTCTGTGTCAAGTGAGAATCCTGCCATAACCATGAGCCAAAATCCTAAGTATTCTCTACCTCAGCATCTTACTGGGTCTTCTTTGGATATATGTGAAAAGGGAGCTCATTGTGTAGTTAATAAAGGAAAGGATATTAAGGCTGTTGTACTAGAAAATTCTAGGAAGGTAAATTACTCTGAGAAATTGGGTCAGAACAAGACATTTGAAGAAAATCTCAGTAGTCGTCATGATTATAAGGATGGGCAGGAGTATTTTCAGGTGTCTGACACTAAAATAGCCCAAAAAGATTTCAAATGGAATCAGGAGAAGAACTATCATATTTCTCCTCCAAAAACTCCAATGTTGCATTCTTTAGCTCAGGAAGAGAAAAAGCAAGTTAATGTTGCTGCCGAAATTAGAATTAATAAACAGACAGAATTTGATGTTCACCTAAGCAAAAATGCACGAAGGAGTGATCGTTTTGCTACCACACTGAGAAATGAAATTCAAATGAAGAGAGCAAAACTCCAAAAAAGCAAAAGCACAGCGGCCTTAGTAGAGCCAACTGAGGAAGAGGACTGTGCTGAGAACTGGAAGCATGATCCTCAAGAAAAGACAGTCTGTTTATCACAAAGTTGTTATTCTCACATGTACAAGGATAATCTGAAAGAGGTCCAAACCAGAGTCTTGAAGGCCACTTCTTTTCAGCGCCGAGACTTGGAACCCAATTCTGCAGAGTATCTTCCAGACCGAAAGACAAATATGTATAATACTACTCCATTGACTTTTGTTTCTGAAGATGAATTAGATTTTCCTGAACTTAGGCAGTCTTCTGGACAGATATCACTGAGTAATGATGCTCACCATCTTTCACGTATTGGTACTAGGAAGAGATTTACTGCAGAACAAAAATTAAAATCTTATTCTGAACCTGAGAAAATAAATGAAGTGGGTATGTTGAATGATAACTGCCAAACACACCATCGTCCAACTACATCAGAGGAAGCTTTGGAAACTTTTGCAGATAAATGGAAGTTTTTTGAAGAAACTAGTAAGCCAGTCTGTCAAAAATCTTCACAGAGATGTGAATCCTACTTTCATTCAGAAGCAGAGCTTGCTACTCTTCATAGAAATTCTAATGAAATTGAATCTGGAGGATCATGGTACAAAAAGAGAATGCGGTCAGCTTCTTTCGGAGTTGAGAATGCACTTTGTGCATCTGATAGATCTAGTGAAACTGTACGTTACAGTGGCGACATCACTAAATCAAGACAACCTCAGAGGTTAGAAACATTTGCAGAATACCAGGCTTCCTGGAAAGAACAGAGAAAACCTATAGAAAGCTGTAGTTCTGGAAAGTGCCATTCAGCTGATAACATCCTTGATGCTGGCTTTGAACAACTTGAGAAAACTCAGTATAAACATGAAAGGTCCAGGTCATCTCCTTCTACTGATTTTTACAAGCAGGTAAATACATTTTACTACATTTTGTTTCAAAGCAATGAAAAATAAGTATATATAAAAGCAAAGTTCTTAAGCATAGTTGTATACAAAATTTCAGGCAAGCCTGTTAAAGTATACATTTCAATGAATCCTTAAATAAACAGAAAACTGACTCAACATTTGCTTGGTACAAAGTTAAATATACTTTTCTGCAAACATGAATGCATACTTAGTATAGTATTTTTAGTTATATACAATTTCCAATTAAAAATTTGAAAATATGACAGATTTTGAACTATGGACACCTTTTCAGTTGGTACTTTGTAATATTTTTTTAGTTGTAATAGAGCTTCCAAACAACTGTAGTTAACCTAAGAATTTTTCTTTTGGAGGGGTTGGGCCAATTTTTCCCTATGTTTCTTGCAGAAGCTCAGAAATTTTCTTAGGCTTCCTTGCCTGCCACTGCATGTTTGAGATCGTCTCATAGATGTTCAATAATCTTATAGTCTGAAGATAAAAGGGCTGTTCCAAAACCTTTGACCTTTCTTTCATGTAATACTTCATAATTGTATTCAGGAACTATCCAAACTCTTTTCAGTTTTAATTACTTTATTAACTGCTGGACATTAGTTTGAAACTAAGAAAAATCTCCACCAAAATTGGAGATTCAAAGGTGGTTAGGTCTACAAAACAGAACTCATAGATCATTCTAAATGACCTTCCAAAATTTTAGCTGATATGTGTTCAATCCCCAGTACAACATTACTTACTAAACAACAATAATGTACATATGTAAAGTTATCAGAAGGAAATCTTTTCTCCAGCAAGTGTAGGAATGTAGAATCCACGGATGAGTTTTAGAAGTCCTCTAGCCCAATTAGACCAACAATCAAAGTTGCCACGCCCCTTCAGGGTCTGACCATGCCCCAGTTTCTTTTGGTCTCAGCCCTGAAGAGACGTGGAATTTTGGCTCCCGAATTAGTGTTCAGGTAGTAGACTTCCATCCGTGGATTCTTCACCTTCCTTTTTGGGGGGGGAAACTAATTTAGCCCTGCACAGCACTGTACTGATCCTCTCTTCCTTCCCAGGCAAGCCCTTGCCGGTATTAGCTGCTCGTCACGATCGCTGCCTTGTGCAGCGAGGCGATCGCTAGCCCTCCCCCCCACCCCCCTTTTGGTATAGCACCGTCAACTTTCGTTTCCTTACTAAGGGACTTTCTTACTTTTCCGATCTGCCTGCCCTCCTCCCAACTTGATCGGAGCACCTCTAATGGCTGTTTCTCATCTAAAGAGAGGAGAGAACAAGTCTCACTGACTTGGATCGTCGCGGCCACCATTTTGGGCCTCCGCGCGATCGCACCCTTCACCAAATTGCTTGGGGAGACGTTTAGGAACCTTTGCAGGGGCTTCTTCTTCTCCAATCAATCTCTCTTCGAAGACAGCTTTGCGCGGGGGCATAGGGGCTCCTATTTTCCCCCGTTGGGAGTGAAGAGCGTTTTACTCCAATTAATTTGGATCGTCGCGGCCGCCATATTGGGCCTCCGCGCGATCACACCTTTCACAATTTATTTTGGGGAACGTTTGGACAATTTGTGCAAAGGGCCCTTTTCTCTCTAATCGATTGATTTTCTTTGCGAGGCAGCCTTACGCGGGTGTATAGGGGCTCCTATTTCCCCCGTTGGATCAGGTCTTTCTGCCTCTTTCCATTCCCCCCCTCCCTCTACCTTGGCAGACGCCATTTTAGGCAGCCTCGTGGCTGACAGGGAGAGTTCTTAGGAACATTCCTACCTCAAGCTATTATTGCATTCATACATTCCTGCCTGCTGGTCTCATTCAAATTGAGCATTATTTGGGCTGCTGCGGCTTGCTTGCCTGTTCCGCTGTCTGCATCTAGTGGCTTGCCAGTCGCTGTCCTAAAAGGGCCGCCACTAAGTGAGACACGAGGGTTCCCTATAAAAAAAAAATTAAAATAATAAATAAACTTTTAATTCATAATAATAAAACAAATCAACTGTTCACAGTACCTGATACGGATTTGTTTAAGGGAACAGGACAGCTCCCTGGGACGACAAGCAGCTTATATCGCACGCTGTGACTCCGCGCTTGTCGGTGGACCGGACTCACAGACCCTCGTGTAGGCCTGTTCCACCTTAGTGGGCCGTAGCCTTGTCTCCTGCAGACCAGGACGGATCCAGGGATCTCCTGGTAAACTCCTGTTATTTACTGTGTTAGTGTATCATGGCGGACAACACCGTTCCACAGGCCTCCACCTCAAGTGGAAATGCAAAACGCAAATCGCCCAACCAGGAAGCACCATCAAAAGCCAAGGCCAAGGTCAAACGGACATCTAAAACGGCCGAAAAACAGGCAGGCAGCAGGCATAGGGCATTGGAATGGCAATTTTCCAAAGCCCAACAACACACAGCGGAGGTACAACCCGTACCCACATCTTCTCCCCTTCCATCTACATCAGAAGGTCCACGCCCTTCTCCCCTTCCACGGGCTTGGTCCCCCGAGCACACCCTTGATCAGGGACCATTGCTTGGATACAGTAGGGACCATCTGTCCCTATTTGAACAGGACCTTGGGATGCAGGTTCAGGGACCAGCTCCGGCCACCGATCCGGGCCCATCCTCGATAGCATGTGGGAATCCGGGTGAAATTTCCTTTGTGGCTCCCCCTCAAATTCCGTCGGCATCATTCACCCCGACGGCGGCGGGTCTCCGGTCCCCGGAACATCCGTCTTTCACCGCCCAACTTCAGGCCATGATTTCACAGGCGGTGGTTCAGGCAATGGCATCTTCTGGGAGGGCCCCTCCGACCTCAGGGCCTTCCAACCCTTCCACATCTGTGGGAACTACACATTCCAGGGATTATGAGCCCCCAGATCCGACCTCCCCACTACAATCCGAGGGAAGCGAGGTATCTGAATATTCTGAGCAGGTCCTCGAAGAGGGCCTGTGGTCGGATGATGAGGACACTCATACGGAGGCCACTCCTCTGGTTGGGGTGTTTAACCCTGCCTTCTTCTCTTCCCTCTTGCGCAAGGCCTGCGTCACTGGGAAGATTGAACCGATGAACCCTCAAACAGCCGATCAGGACTCTGACCAGGCCTCTGATCTGCTGTTTCTGAAGCCGGTTACAAAGAACCAACAGATTCCTTGCCCCCCCCCATGTTTTTGCAATCCATTCAAGAACAATGGGGATCCCCTGGTACCTTCTCAGCTCTTGGGGGAATAGACCGTAAGCTTTTGGATACGGTCCCTTCCCTCAATGATGCTCTAGAGGTCCCGGGAGTGAATGAGTCTCTCTCCCCTATTCTGTCAGACACCAAGATCCCAGGGGATATGTCTGAGGCCCTTAAGGCTGAGGACAAGAAATCTGAGATTTCCTTCCATAGGACTCACCAGGCCTCGGCATTGGCGATAAGAGCCTCAACTTCTAATTCCTTCTTTGCCAGAATCTCACTGATATGGCTTCATGAACTCCAGGCCAGAATTTCCCCAGACGAGATGAGGGTGCACCAGGACGTCACTAAGTTGAGGGCTGCTCTGGAATATATGGCGGACGTGTCTCTGCAATCGGCCAGATATTCGGCTCGACCCATAGCTTCCAACGTGGCTGCACGTCGGTTGTTCTGGCTTAAGAATTGGCGGGCCGACACCAGACACAAATGGAGGGTAGCGGCTGCACCATATCAGAATGGTCGCCTCTTTGGGGAGGCCCTCACTCCTTACTTGATTGAAAACAAGGAGAAAAAGAAAGTACTTTCTCACCTCTCCAAAAGGACGGGCAGATGCTTTTCTCCATATAATCGACGCCCGTCATTTAGGTCTGGCTCAGACCGAAACTCCTGGAGCGGGTATCGGCCCTTTCAAGCAGGGCCGGACCGCTCCGGCTACAGAGACAGGCCAAAGCCGCAATTTCAGGGCAAGCGACCCTTCCGGGGCAGGGGAGGTCGTCCCTTCCGCAAGACTAAGTGACTCGGAACGGACCCCCCCCATCAGCGGAAGACTGTCACATTACTTCCACAGATGGGAAAGCACCACCATAGACATCTGGGTTCTCACCACCATCAGAGACGGTCTGTCTCTAGAATTCCTGGCTCCTCCCCCCCGTTTCATCGCTTGCCCCCTATCACGAAATCCCGTAAAGCAGGGTCTCATGAACGAGGCCATTCAACATTTACTCTCCATAGAAGCAATAGAGCAGGTACCACCAGATCAATGGGGACTAGGGTTCTACTCCATCCTCTTTGTGGTCCCCAAGACCTCGGGAGGATGGAGGGCAATACTCGAACTCAAGGCCCTCAATTCGTACCTAGTGTACCACAAGTTCAAAATGCAGACTCTTCATTCCATTCTAGGCAGCATTCGGCCGGGGGATTTCCTTACGTCCATAGATTTGTCAGAAGCTTACCTTCACATCCCCATACATCCGGCTCACAGGCAATTTCTCAGATTCAGGTACTCTGACCATCATTATCAGTACAAGGCCCTGCCATTCGGCCTGTCATCAGCCCCCAGGGTTTTCACCAAAATCCTGACAGTTCTTGCCGCGCAGTTGAGATTAGTACCGGTCCGCCTTCAGTGCTACTTGGACGATATCCTAATTCAGTCATCCTCGGCACTGAACGCTTGCTTGGACGTGACGCTGACGATCAGGACACTCCAAGATCATGGCTTCCTGATCAACTTTCAAAAGAGCCACCTGACTCCAACCAACCGGTTGTTACACTTGGGCGCAATAATAGATACCAATTTGGGTCACGTTTTCCTATCTCAGGAGCATCGGGTCAGCATACGCACGTTGGTCTCCAAAGTGCGCAGGGAAAAGCGAGTGACACTACTACTACTTTCACAGCTGTTGGGGAAATTAATTTCCTGCATCGCCATAGTGCCCTGGGCCAGGCTTCACACGAGACAACTCCAGTGGTTTCTGCTCCCTTATCAGAGACGAGGCGTAGCCTGTTTTCCTCAGAGGGTACGGGTCCCAGTTCAGACACTTACTTCCCTTCTCTGGTGGCTATCCCCAGCCTTGTCCAAGGGATCCCTGTTCAAGGAACCGAGT